TAATTTATAAATGACCTTTTTTTGAAGGTTCAGGGTGAGCTATTAGTATCAAAGGGGGGTTCTTGTGACAGTCACACTTTAATTTGCTCATATTATTTCAATTGGCCCCTTTTAGGTGTTAACAGAGCTAAAAATAAAAAAAAAACCTTTATAAACATCTTCTACTGAACTAATTGATGGATTATCACCAAACTTTGTAGCATTCTTAGGTAGTCTTTTATCAAATTTGCTCATATTAATTTGATTGGTCCCTATGAAGGGTCTTGTAAGTTAAAGAAGGAAAAATCCTTTAGATATCTTCTTCGTCTGAACTTATTGATGGATGATCACCAAATTTTGTCTGTAACATTCTTAGGTAGCCTTATTATCAAATTTGCTCATATCAGTTTGATTGGCCATTTTTAGGGGCCTCTATAGCTAAAAATAGAAAACATTTAAACATCTTCTTCTGAACTAATTGATGGATGATCACCAAACTTTTTCTGTAGCATTCTTAGGTAATTTTTATTATGCCCCCGAGCATATAGTAATTGAACCGTCCGTCTGTCTGTCCGTCCATCCGTCCGTACGAGGTTAACCTAGAACAGCAAGTAGGATTTTTTCTTAAGGTCTATCTGTACCAATGGCTTCTTAGTTTACACACTTACTAATCAATACAAAGTACATGATCTGGTCAAGTTACATAACTATGGCTTCCATATTTACCAAGTTATTGCCCTTTTCAGCACTAAGAAAATGAATTATGGTTAACCTAAAAAGGCAAATTGGACATATCTTAAGTTCTATCTATACTAATGGCTTCATAATTTCCGCACTTTCTTATCAATACAAAGTACATGATATTGCCAAGTTATATAACTGTGTCATCCATATTTCCCAGTTATTTCCCTTTTTAACCAGTTTTTCCGAAGGAAAAAACTGGTTATTAGATTGAGGTATGTCGGCGGGCGGGCGTAAACAATTTCTTCTGTGCGCAACTCCTCCTACATTTCTCAACGGATTTTGACCAAACTTTGACAGAAGCTTTGTCATCAAGTGCCCTGGGGCATATTGTCAGGGATTTGTGATTGGATAATATATAACGAAATTATGGCCCTTTGTTTTTTTTCCTTATATAGAATATATAGTGAATAATTTCTTCTGTGTGCAATTCCTCCTACATTTCTCAATGGATTTTGACCAAATTTTCACAGAAACTTTGTCATCAAATGCCCTTACGTATATTGTCAGGGTTTTGTGATTGGATAATATTTGACCTAATTATGGCCCTTTATTTTTTTTTCTTATATAGAATATATAGTGAACAATTTCTTCTGTGCACAACTCCTCCTACATTTCTCAATGGATTTTGTTCAAACTTTCACAGAAGGTTTGTCATCAAATGTCCTGATACATATTGATGGGTTTTGTGATTGGATAAATTTTTACCTAATTATGGCGCTTTGTTTTTTCCATAAAATTTAATTATTAGTGTAATATATCCTTTTAATCACAACAAACTTAATTTAGTTATAAAACAGAAACTCTCTAGGTTGTTGCATGCCTGCCAGCTCATCTGCCTGCAAAAGTCAAGGTCAAGGTCATTGTTGCTAAAATTGAAAATCTGTTTCCAGTCAGGTCAATGTTATTAAAAAAAGGAAATAGGTTTCCTGTCAATAACTAGTTTGGAATAAGATAATTTTATGAAATTTGGTGTAAAGCAAGTTTTTATAAAGACCTCACTTGGGATGGCTTTTTGACCCCTTAGGGTCAAGGTTACAGTTACTAAAAATAGAAAATTCATTATTCATGATTAACATTGCACATAGTTACATTGTTTGTTGCTTGTATTTGTATTTCAACTACAACATATTTATCTACAATGGTGATAATTGAAAACCTGGTTTTGTGGCATTGCCATGTTTCTTGTTTCACTTTTAAAATAGGGCCTTGTCTGGTTAACATATTCCGGCAAGTTAGATTTATCTTAAATTTCTCCAAATTACTGAATTTATTCAATGATATCTTACATTGACAGATGTATTTCATATTTGGTAGGTGGATACCTTTAATGGTCCTCTATTTTTTTGTAGAGTTAGGGGTCTCTAGGGTCAAGGTTACTGGTGTGAAAAATAAATTTAAACATTTTTTGCTCATACAGTCTTTATTTTTTGGTTGATGTCTTTCATGTTAAATACAAATATGCCAAGGGAGGTCCTCCTTCTTTGGGTATAGTAAGGGGTCATTTGGGTCAAGGTCTATGTCACCAATGTCAAGGTCACCAATGTTAAAAATAGATTTTTACAGGTGTATTAACCATATTCTATAGACATATGTCATTTATAATTGATAGGAACATAAAATTTGATGGAGTTAGTGGTCAGTTGGGTCAAGGTCACCAGTCCTAAAAATAGATTTTTACACTTTTGCTCATACAGCCTTTATTTATTGATAGATATATTTCATATTTGGTAGGAAGATAACTTGCATGGTATTCATCCTTTTGATTGGGGTAGGGATCAGTGGGTCAAGGTCACTTGTGCTAAAAATAGACTTTTACACTTTTGCCCATACAGGCTTTATTTATTGACAGGTGTATTTCATATTTGATAGGAAGATAACTTGCATGGTATTCTTGCTTTTGATTGAGTTAGGGATTAGTGTGTCAAGGTCACTAGTGCTAAAAATAGATTTTTACACTTTTGCCCATACAGCCTTTATTTATTGACAGATATATTTCATAGTTGGTAGGAAGATAACTTGCATGGTATTCATCCTTTTGATTGGGGTAGGGATCAGTGGGTCAAGGTCACTTGTGCTAAAAATAGATTTTTACACTTTTGCCCATACAGGCTTTATTTATTGACAGGTGTATTTCATATTTGATAGGAAGATAACTTGCATGGTATTCTTCCTTTTGATTGAGTTAGGGATCAGTGTGTCAAGGTCACTAGTGCTAAAAATAGATTTTTACACTTTTGCCCATACAGCCTTTATTTATTGACAGATATATTTCATATTTGGTAGGAAGATAACTTGCATGTTATTCTTACATTGGATGGAGTTAGGGGTCAGTTGGGTCAAGGTCACAAGTGCTAAAAATAGATTTTTACACTTTTGCCCATACAGCCTTTATTTATTGACATATTTATTTCATATTTGGTTGGAAGATAACTTGCATGGTATTCTTCCTTTGGATGGAGTTAGGGGTCAGTTTGGTCAAGGTCATCAATGCTCAAAATAGATTTTAACATTTTTGCCCATACAGCCTTTATTTAATGAAAGGTGTATTTCATATTTGGTAGGAAGATAACTTGCATGATATTCTATAGGTGTCAGTGGGTCGAGGTCAAGGGTGCCAAGCATAGATTTCTTACATTTATATATATTTGATAAAGTTGAATATTAATCACTTCACAAGTCATAGCAATGACTTGGCAACTTATACATTTCACAATTACAAAATGCCATGACTCTGTCAAGTTATATAACTTGTGTTTACAATTTTTTGGCAATGTTTCTGTCCATAACTGAGTGAAAGGGTAAACATTTTTAGCTTGACTTTTTTTATTTCTGAAAAAAAAAGTAGAGGTATTGTTATAGTCGCCGAGCAGTTGCCATTGCTGTTGCCGTTGCCGTCCGCAAACTTGTACCTGGATCATAACTTTTTTATTTCTTGGTGTATTGTCTTCATACTTGGCCACAACAACCCTTGGGACGAGACCTTTCAGTAGACCACACTAACCTTGACCTTCATCCATTAATGACCTTGACCTTCAAGGTTAAAAGTCCAAATTTTGCTTGTTCATGCTGTTATTGGCTGTAACTTTGTTATTTTTGAATGGATTGTCTTGAACATAATAATCTTCAAGGATATCCCTTAAACATAACCAGACAGACCTTGACCTTCACTCATTAATGACCTTGACTTTGTTTTGGCTGTAACTGGCTGTATCTTTGCTATTATTGAAGGGATAAACTTCATATTATAACAGAACATACTTAAGGACAAGACCTTGTTGTTTATCTTGACTTCACCACGTGACACCACCACGTGACTCCACCACGTGATACCACCACATGACTCCAGCACATGACACCACCACGTGACTCCACCACGTGACTCCACCACGTGACAAGACCTTGTTGTTTATCTTGACTTCACCACGTGACACCACCACGTGACTCCACCACGTGATACCACCACATGACTCCAGCACATGACACCACCACGTGACTCCACCACGTGACTCCACCACGTGACACCACCACGTGACTTCATCCCGTGACTTCACCACATGTCTCCACCACGTGTATCTATTTATAGAATTTTCTATTTATAGAATTGTGTGTTTCTATTTATAGAATTTTCTATTTATAGAATTGCGTGTCTCTATTTATATATATATAAATTAGTATATTTATATATAAAAAATATATAGACAAAACTCATGTGACAAGACAGAATGATTAATTTTATAAGAAGGAAACGTTAAGATTTTGTTCAAACATTTCTTTGCTTGCTTTTAGAGAAAGTAAAAAGTCGAGTGTTGCCCCTGCACGGCGGTGGCTCTTGTTATATACTGCTATAACATTTTTACCATGTGCATAATGTCAGGTGTAGAACTGAAATTTGATATCAAATGACATAGATATTGACCTAGCGACCTTCTTCTTGCTTTTGATGTACAGCTATGAAATTTTGAATATGTATATAGTATAATTAGAAAATACATTTTGCATGAAGTATTGTCTTGTGATTAACGTCTTGTAATAAACACTATCACACAAATAACAGTCTGTCCTCAGGTGAGTGCTTTGGGGTCAATGGCCCCCTTTTTTCTTGATGTTTATCAAAATATTTGGCAGATGTCTTCACTAGGGTCAGAGCGTGTGTCTGGTGCTATGTCAAGATGTTACTTAAAGATAAAAATGTTATATTTTGGGATGATTCTATGGGCACATTTCTTGTTATAATTTCAACATAAAAAGTTAACCTGCTAAAGTATTTTATTTTGTAGCAGCAGTTACTTCAGCAGCATCTGAACCAGCTCCAGCAGCAGCAACAACAGCAGGATCAGGAGCAATTGCTCTTTGACAATCCACATGACCCATACCAGAGTTCCCCACAAGTGCCCCAGTCACCTCATTTGCCCACCTCTCCTCCATATAAACAGAATCACAGTGTACCCCAGTCACCGCAGGTTCCACAATCACCTTTGATGCAACAGTCGGGCTCAATGGATACCTTACAGAGCCCAGTTTCTGAATATGGTAATCCACTATTACAGGAGAATATGGGGATTACACACCAGTTTGGTGATCAGACAGTTCAGGGGTATAGTGACATGCAGGGTGATGCAGAGTCAACCATGCTTCATAATCTGCAGCAACAGATGCAGCATTCTCAAAATATCAACATGAACAACTTAGCAAATGTGAATATTGAAAATGCACATAATACTAACCTGACTAGTAGTGCTAATAATAGTGTAAATGATATTCAACAGATAAACTATAACCAATCTGTCAACCCAAACCATGACCAAAGTGCTTATCAGACTCAGTTATCAGGACCATTTATGGCCAGTGGGCATCTTGGCAACCAAGAGGTGGTGCAAGGTTCAGTGTCTGGGAGCAATCATACAACAAGTGAAATTGTTTCACAGATAATAACAAGTCTTGAAAACCTTGGAGAGGTTCTTCCAGGCTCCATGCAACAAATACACAACAAATCAGACAATGTCACACAAATGCATGGATATGCAGCTGAAAACATTAGTTTAGAACAGTTTGAACGCCTCCAAAATGTTGATAATGGAGTGTTAGTGAAAAATACATACAATGAATTTGCTCATAATAATGTTGTGCATAATCCAGTAGCTTCAAGCTATAATACACCTTTTGTACTACAGCATTCATCATCAATGACTGATACAAAGGCAAGTGTTAAACAAGAATTGTTAAAACATTTACAATCAAAGCCAAGTTCTCCTAGGGCAGCTCAAACATTGCAATTTTCATTCCAGAATAATTTGAATAATAATAATGGTAGTACACCACTTAGACAGAGACACCATAGTGCTAAAAGTGAATATGGGAGTGCTTTACAATCTAATCCACACAGTAATAGTGAATTGAAACGCAGGTTATCAGCTGGGCCAGAAGACATAAGGCCTTCAATTCACTTGCAAGGTGCATCAGGTTCAGAAAGAACATGTTTGAAAAGGCCTGCAATAAGGTCAGCACCAGATGACAATACAAAACCAAGAATGAGAAGTAAGTCTGGAGACGATTACAGAATACAAAGATGGAGGGTCGAAGAAACATTTATGAAACCAAAGATAAGGAGTGAAGACTTTTCTCATCGACCTCGCAGTAAAACTGATGAACATTTAGCTAAGTGGAAAAATAGGGAAGTGTTTTCAAGATCTGATGGAGCTGGGGTGTTTAGAAATCCTACCTCAACTGCTCCTGGGTCATTCAAAATGAGAAGGAAAAATCGTCCTGCACCATTAATTATTCCACCACATGCAAACCATTGTGGCTTTCAAAGTCGTTTGAGGTCACCAAGGATTTGGACTGATGGAACAGATCATGCAAGTACAGCTCCAGTGCCATATACACCACCACCAATGCTGAGTCCATTAAGACGTGGCTCAGGTCTGTTTTGCTCCGTTAGTGGTAACATAACTCCACAGCCGTTATTGATGAACTCTGCTGGTCTACCACCAACACCTAGACCATCCCTTCTCAGATCTTGTAAGTTCTTGTTAAATTATTTTAGGTCAAAAGTACTGTAAAAGGTCAAATATTTTGGATAGTAGTTTTATGTCCAACCTTTATTTTCAATTTATTCAGTAGATATTCATTTAAACATGCAGATGTTTAATTTTCAATTAAAATATTATTTTGGTAATGCATTGACCTCCCTCTGTATCTGTCTTGTTTTGGTTAGGTTAGGGAAAGTAAATAACAAGATTTGAATCATCTTGAATGAACCATTTTTTTCAGCTAGTGTAACTAAATCTGAGAAAGCAGAAGAGTCGTCAGATGAAACTATATCCTATGTAGAAGAGTTACCTCCACCTGAATCTGATATCTTACCGTAAGTTGATTTGACAATAATTATGCCCCCACTTCAAAGAAGAGGGGGTATATTGCTTTGCACTTGTCGGTCCGTTAGTCTGTCGGTCCGTAGACCAAATGGTTTCCGAGTGATAACTAAAGAACGCTTAGGCCTAGTAACTTCAAACTTGGTATGGTGATTGGTCATGACCAGCAGATGACCCCTATTGATTTTGGGGTCAAGGGGTCAAAGGTCAAGGTCACATTGGCCTTGTAGGTAAAAACGGTTTCCGATCAATAACTAAAGAATGCTTAGGCCTAGGAACTTTAAACTTGGTATGGTGATTGGTCATGACCAGCAGGTGACCCCTATTGATTTTGGGGTCAAGGGTTCAAAGGTCAAGGTCACATTGACCCTGTAGGTAAAAATGGTTTCCGATCAATAACTTAAGAACGCTTAGGCCTAGGAACTTCAAACTTGGTATGGTGATTGGTCATGACCAGCAGATAACCCCTATTGATTTTGGGGTCAAGGGGTCAAAGGTCAAGGTCACATTGACCTTGTAGGTAAAAACGGTTTCCGATCAATAACTTAAGAATGCTTAGGGCTAGGAACTTCAAACTTGGTATGGTGATTGGACATGACCAGCAGATGACCCCTATTGATTTTGGGGTCAAGGGGTCAAAGGTCAAGGTCACATTGACCTTGTAGGTAAAAACCGTTTCCGATCAATAACTAAAGAACGCTTAGGCCTAGGAACTTCAAACTTGGTATGATGATTGGTCATGACCAGCAGATGACCCCTATTGATTTTGGGATCAAGGGTCAAAGGTCGAGGTCATGTTGACCTTGTAGGTAAAAACGGTTTCTGATCAATAACTAAAGAATGCTTAGGCCTAGGAACTTCAAACTTGGTATGATGATTGGTCATGACCAGTAGATGACCCCCATTGATTTTGGGGTCAAGGGGTCAATGTCATATTGACCTTGTACTTAATGATGGTTTGTGACCAATAACTTAACAACTCAAGTTGCCTTGGTTGATATTTTTATATTAAACTAAAAATGCTTTTGGTATACACATTTGAAGGTGTTATGTAATATAACAACTTGGCTGTCATTAATGAGGCCTACATGATTCATAAAATTTATGCATATATTATTTGTAAGATTTGTAATAACTTAAATTGCTGCACACAACCTATGGGGTCACAATACTTATTACCTTGTGACTAGTCATGACCTGTAGAGACTACATAACCCTTATTAATTGTTTGTTCACTGGGTCAGAAGTCATGCATAATAACCTGATCATATGACTAATTGGCTGCCGATAGGGGGCATACATGTTTTACAAACATATCTTGTTTAAAATAACTTGATACAAATATGTACCATGATGAGACAGTATACCATGCAAGATCTGACCTCTAGCTCCAAGGGCAAGTCCAGTCTTAGAGGTCAAAGTTCAGCAGTTAGAAAGTCTTGATTCGCCTATATTCATCAAGGGATTTTGGAATAACTTTGGCACAAATTTGTAACATCATTTGATGGTGTTTCATGTGCAAAATCTAGAACCCTAGCTTCAATGTCAAGGTCACTTACCTGTCAAAAGTCAGCATTTAGGAAACAATGATCAGCCCATACTCTGTCATGCATCAAGGGATTTTAGAATTATTTGGCACAAATGGATGGGGGGATGGCATATTTGTAATTTTGACATTTTGTTTGGGTCAAAAATGGCAATATGACCCTATGCCTTTCTGAATTGAATAATTATAACCTTGCAATGGATCTCTGGTGAGAAATCTATGGCCATCATTTCCCTCTTGTTCTTTGATATTAATAGCAGTTTTTTTTTTTTTACAGACATGTCAATATAGGGCCACAGTATCAGGCAGTTCTTCCAGAATTAAATCGTAAGTTATTTTGTCGATTTGATGTTGTATAAAGTCATTCTTATGCACTGAAAATATCATAAAGCCCTAGAAATTTCAGTCTTGGTTTTTATCTACTTTCACTATTGGTTTTAAAGCTTTTACTTGCAACAACCCAGTAAATTTTGTAGTGTTACAGGATAGCAACATAAATCTACATATTGTGCCAGCAACTAAATCCTTCCTATCTCTGGAAGATGTTCCTCTTATGTTCTTCCTGGTAAAAATTCTGTATTTTAACCTGTTTTATATGACTTCTGTCAAAATAGTTTATTAGTCCCCTACCGGTTTAACCGGAGGGGACTTTAGGTTTACCCTCCGTCCGTCCGTCTGTCTGTCCGTCCGTCTGTCTGTCTGTCAGTCCGTCCACAAATCTGGATCCCGCGATAACGCAAAAAGTACTGAAAATATTTTTATGAAACTTGATATATGGATAGATGGCAGTATGGAGATTATGCACGTCTTTTTATTTTCTTCCTATGTTGAAAATTCTGGTTGCTATGGCAACAAATAGTCTGAAAATATGACAAATTTAACACATAAACTGGATCCAGTGATAACTCAAAAAGTACTGAAAATATTTTTATGAAACTTCAAATATGGGTAGATGGCAGTATGGAAATTATGCACATCTTTTTATTTTCTTCCTATGTTGAAAATTCTGGTTGCTATGGCAACAAATAGTCTGAAAATATGGCAAATTTAACACATAAACTGGATCCAGTGATAACTCAAAAAGTACTGAAAATATTTTTTTGAAACTTAAAATATGGGTAGATGGCAGTCTTTAGATTATGCACATCTTTTTCTTTTCTTCCTATGTTGAAAAATCTGGTTGCTATGGCAACAAATAGCCTGAATTTCAAAATTTCTGATTCAAATTTTTCAGCTTTTTCACTATAAGTTCTTTATTTCTTATGGTGTTTACTTCAAACTTTAGATATAAGTTTCTGTTCATCAACCACATCATATGTGACAAGGTTTACAACTCTAGCACAAAAATTATCAGTATTACCTCCCTTGAACTTAGAATTTTTATGAAAAAAATGTTGTCTTTTTTAAATAACTTCTTTATTTCCTAATGTATCTACTTCAAACTTCATATATATGTTTCTTATTATCACTTAACATTTTTGAGAAGGTTAAATACTCTAGCAAGACTATTTCCAGAATTATGTCCCCCTTGAACTTAGATTTTTTTCGAGAAATTGGTATTTTTCACTCCAACTTCTTCATTCCTTATAGGATTTACTTTAAAATCCCACATTGTAATAATATGACAAGGTTGTATAAACATAATTTCCTTACTAGGCAGGGAAACTTAACACATTACTGTGATATAGACAAACTTAGAACTCAAAAGATTTAAGTTCATTCATGTCATTCATTCACTGGTAAAATTGAATGGCCAATGGCCCATCAGAATGTTGCTGGGGTTCTAACCGGTAGGGGACTTATAGATTGCTTGCAATACTATGATAATTGCTTGTTCCTTACTCTTGATTTTAAATTTTGATTGCATATGATGTGGCCTCATTGATATGAACATCTGAGATATGTTTATTCTTTTTGTGCCCCCACTTTAGGAGGGGTGATTTAGATTTACCCTTGTCCGTCCATCCTTCTGTCCGTCCGTTCTCAATTTGTGTCACATGTAGCTCAAAAAGTATTTGACCTAGAGTCATAAAACTTTTCAGGAACGTTGATCAGCATGTGAAGTTGTGCACCTTGGTATTTTTGTGTGGATGTATTTAGTGTTTTTAGAATTATTGCCCTTGACTTAGTAAAAATTTACAATTTTCAACTTGTGTTGCACATCACTCAAAAAATGTTTGACCTAGAGTCATGAAACCTTACAGTAATGTAGCTCAGCATGTGAAGTTGTGCACCTGGATATTTTTGTGTGGATATATTTAGTATTTTTAGAGTTATTGCTCTTGACAGTAAAAATTTACAATTGTCAACTTGTGTCGCATGTAACTCAAAAAGAATTTAACCTAGAGTCATGAAACTATACAGGAATGTTGATCAGCATGTGTTGTTATGCACCTAGGTATTCTCTTGTGGATTTATTTAGTATTTTTTGAGTTATTGCCCTTGACTTAGTAAAAATTTGCAATTTTCAACTTGTTTTGCACGTTACTCAAAAAATATTTGATCTAGTCATGAAACTTCACAGGAATGTTGATCAACATGTGAAGTTATGCACCTGGGATTTCGCTTGTGGATTTTTAGCTCACCTGTCACAAAGTGACAGGGTGAGCTTTTGTGATCGCTTTTCGTCCGGCGTCCGTCCGGCGTCTGTCCGTCGTCCGTTTGTCCGTCGTCCGTCCGTAAACTTTTGCTTTAAATGACATCTCCTCATAAACCACTGAGCCAATTTCATCCAAACTTCACAGGAATGTTCCTTTGGTGGTCACCTTTAAAAATTGTTCAAAGAATTTAATTCCATGCAGAACTCTGGTTGCCACGGCAACCGAAAGAAAAATCTTTAAATATCTTCTTTTAAACAACCCTAAGAGCTAGAGCTTAGATATTTGGCATGAAACATCTTCTAGTGAGTGTCTACTAAGTTTGTTCAAATAAAAGCCCTGGGGTCAAAATTGGCCCCGCCCCAGGGGGTCATTGATTTTCCCTATATGCATTTAGTAAAAACTTAAAAAATCTTCTTTTAAAGAACCCAAAGAGCTAGAGCTAAGATATTTGGCATGAAACATCTTCTAGTGAGTGTCTACCAAGTTTGTTCAAATAAAAGCCCTGGGGTCAAAATTGGCCCCGCCCCGGGGGGTCATTGATTTTCCCTATATGTATATAGTAAAAACTTAAAAAATCTTCTTTTAAAGAACCGTAAGAGCTAGAGCTTAGATAATAAGCATGAAACATCTTCTAGTGAGTGTCTACCAAGTTTGTTCAAATAAAAGCCCTGGGGTCAAAATTGGCCCCGCCCCAGGGGGTCATTGATTTTCCCTATATGCATATAGTAAAAACTTAAAAAATCTTCTTTTAAAGAACCCAAAGAGCTAGAGCTAAGATATTTGGCATGAAACATCTTCTAGTGAGTGTCTACCGAGTTTGTTCAAATTAAAGCCCTGTGGTCAAAATTGGCCCCACCCCGGGGGGGTCATTGATTTTCCCTATATGCATATAGTAAAAACTTAAAAAATCTTCTTTTAAAGAACCATAAGAGCCAGAGCTTAGATATTTGGCATGAAACATCTTCTAGTGAATGTCTACCAAGTTTGTTCAAATAAAAGCCCTGGGGTCAAAATTGGCCCCGCCCCAGGGGGTCATTGATTTTCCCTTTATGCATATAGTAAAAACTTAAAAAATCTTCTTTTAAAGAACTCAAAGAGCTAGAGCTAAGATATTTAGAATGAAACATGTTCTAATGGGTGTCTACCAAGTATGGTCAAATAAAAGCCCTGGGGTCAAAACTGGCCCCGCCCGGGTGGGGGGGGGGGTCATTGATTTTCCTTATATGTGTATAGCAAAAACTTAAAAAAAATCTTCTTTGAAAAAACCCAAATAGCTAGAGTTTAGATATTTAGCATGAAACATCTTTAAGTAAATATGTACAAAGTTTGTTCAAATAAAAGCCAGGGGGTCAAAACTGGCCCTGCCCCAGGGGTGTCATTGTTTTTAACTATATGTGTATAGTAAAAACTTTAAAAATCTTCTTTTAAAAAACCCAATGAGCTAGAACTTAGATGTTTAGCATGAAACATCTTCTTATGTGTGTCTACCAAGTCTGTTCAAATAAACAAATAAAAGCCCTTGGGTAAAAATTGGCCCGGGGGTGGGGGGGGGCCTATATACAGGTGAGCGACCTCAGGGCCATCATGGCCCTCTTGTTTTTGTTTTGTAAGAGTTATTGCCCTTGACTTAATAAAAATTTTCAATTTTCAACAGCACATAGCTCAAAAAGAATTTGACCTAGAGTCATGAAACTTTACAGGAATGTTGATCAGCATGTTTAGTTGTGCACCTGTGTATTTTCATGTAGATTTATTTAGTATTTGTAGAGTTATTGTCCTTGACTTAGTAAAAATTTACAATTTTCACTTTGTGTCACATGTAGCTCAAAAAGTAATAGGGTCATGAAACTTTACAGGAATGTTGATCAGCATTTGAAGTTTTGCATCTGGGGTTTCGCTTGTGATTTGATATGTTTTGTAAGAGTTATTGCCCTTGACTTTGTATAAATTTGAAATTTTCAACTTGTTAATGCATAGCTCAAAAGAATTTGACCTGTAGGCCTGAAAGTTTACAAGAATGTTGGTCAGCATGTGTACATAAATTTATATGCACCTTGGGGTTGCTTGTGTTTATATTCAGTATTTGTAAAGTTCTGTCCCTTTAACTAAGTAACTAAGTAAAAGATTTTTATTATTTTCAACTTGTTGCACATGTAGGCAAAAAAATATTTTACTTGGAGTCAAATGATTGACAAAACAGTGGAGTGTGGGGGCACCATGTCCGTGGACACATTTCTAGTCTTTTTATTCTTTTTCATTATGTATTAAATGTTGACTAGCCAGCTTTCCCTCTTTTGGGATCTGCCCAAAATACACTGTATGCACCATTTTTGGCATTGCCTTTCTCAATAAATACTTATGTATTCCTCCGAAATTATTCTTCACAACATTTTTAGCTTACTTGAGCACAATGTGCTTGTGATAAGAGTTGAGCTTTAATGGTGGCAGAGTGTCTATCATTTGTTGTCCTTCATTATCCACACTTGCTTTGTATAACATCTTCTCCTTAACCATTTAATGGATTTTGATCAAACTTCACACAAATGATACTTAAGTGTGTTATTAAGATTTTATTCTTGGCGCCAGAATAAACTACTCTTGGCTTCTTTGCCAGTCTGCATCTTGTGCCTCATTTGGTAACATCTGATGTTTCTGCAATTCCTGTTCTTTGTCTGTAGAGAGTTGCCAACAACCTCAAGGCATCTTTGAAAACAACCTGTTGTAGGACCACACCTTGCAAAGTTAGCCACAACAGGTAAACCAATCATCTATGGTACATATGATGACTTGATTTTGACCTGCCACATGCCGACTTTGCAATGTTCACTTAGTTTATAAAAACTTTTGTAGGAAAATACATTCTGTGAAAGTACAGTGTCAAGAGCTTAGATATTTGGTATTGACCTCTTCATAAATGACCCTTGGGTAACAGTTACTACTCAACATTGACTGTTCGCCAATCATGACAAAACGTATGTCCAAGGACTTTTGGAGGTCACTGTATGACTTATCTGGGTTTGCAAAGTGTTGCAAGTGAGTATACCAGGGGCTTAAAATAAAATTCATAATTTTAGTTATTTAACTTTTCAGCTCATAAGAAAATGGCACTGTATGATGTATCCAAGGAAGATCTTCTGTTTGATCCTGCATGTCTGGGTGATAACTTAGATGATGATGGTAATTATCTTAAATTTTCTTTCTTTCTTTTTTGATTGTCTTTATAAATAATATTTTCTTTATCATGTATATCTACCACAAAAAGTGCATTTTGATTTATAATTATCAAATAACAAACAATAGATGTGTAAAGTTTTGATTTTGACTCATTTATAAAAGCAAATATTCTTTAAAAAAAATTGGTAATTGGCAAATTTAATATGAAACATCCCATGATATACAGTTAACTCAACTTAAAACAAGATCAGTTTTAACATGTACTGCTTACAACTTATATTCTGCTCAGTCCCTGCAGGGTACATTTTCATTTAGACATGTACCAGTTACAGCGAGATCACAAGAAATCAGTTATAACATATACAGTACGCTCAGTGCGGATTTTGCAAAACCGGCGTGTCCCCGTGGATGTGGCTCATCGCGGACAAAAATTTGCTCAAATATTGTCCGCGTGACCCCGCGGATAGAAAATTTTCACCACTGCGGACATAAATCTACAACCGTAAGCGTTTCCCCCGCAGAACACTGTGGTTAATTGTGGGGGAACGCGGTGGTGTTCATCGTGAAAACGGTTAAATTTTACAAGTATTTTTTATTAGTCCCCTACCGGTTTAACCGGAGGGGACTTTAGGTTTACGTCCGTCTGTCTGTCCGTCTGTCTGTCAGTCCGTCCGTCCACAAAACTGGATCCCGCGATAACGCAAAAAGTACTGAAAATATTTTTATGAAACTTGATATATGGATAGATGGCAGTCTGGAGATTATGTGCATCTTTTTCTTTTCTTCCTATGTTGAAATTTCTGGTTGCTATGGCAACAAATAGCCTGAATTTCAAGATTTCTGATTTAAATTTTTCAGCTTTTTCACTATAAGTATTTTGTTTCTTAAGGTGTTTACTTCAAACTTTAGATATAAGTTTCTGGTCATCAACCACATCATATGTGACAAGGTTTACAACTCTAGCACAAAAATTATCAGTATTACCTCCCTTGAACTTAGAATTTTTATGAAAAAAAAATGTTGTTTTTTTTAGATAACTTCTTTATTTCCTAATGTATCTACTTCAAACTTCATATATATGTTTCTTATTATCACTCAACATTTTTGAGAAGGTTAAATACTCTAGCAAGACTATTTCCAGAATTATGTCCCCCTTGAACTTAGATTTTTTTCGAGAAATTGGTATTTTTTACTCCAACTTCTTCATTCCTTATAGGATTTACTTTAAAATCCCACATCGTAAAAATATGACAAGGTTGTATAAACATAATTTCCTTACTAGGCAGGGAAACTTAACACATTATTGTGATATAGACAAACTTAGAACTCAAAAGATTTAAGTTCATTCATGTCATTCACTCAGTGGTAAAATTAAATGGCCAATGGCCCATCAAAATGTTGCTGGGGTTCTAACCGGTAGGGGACTTATGGATTGCTTGCAATACTATGATAATTGCTTGTTTTTATTGAACTTGTTAAAACTTTATGAAATAGATGTAATCGTACAGTTAAGAATTTATTTTATTTTAAAGTCTACTAAAATAATTTATTTGCCTTTATTTTCCATTTCAGAATGTTTTTGGACGTCAATTTCAGAAGTTGCAATGTAGGCCTACAGCTAGCGTCCGGGCCCGTACCGCTAGTCAAAAGTTATTGCAACCTGTATTTTTTTTCTGTGACCCCCGATTATTATACCCCCACCACAAAATGTGGGGGGGGCTATAATGGATTCGCTTTGTCGCGTCGGTCGGTCGGTCGGTCGGTCCGTCCGTCTCCATTTTCGTGTCCGCTCTATAACTCCTATACCACTTGAAGGATTTTCTTCAAACTTGGCTCAAATGTTCACCTCAGCAAGGGGATGTGCAGAACCCATGTTGCCCATGTGTCAGCTCAAGGTCAAGGTCACAATTGAAGGTCAAATATCAAACACAATCATATATTAGACAGTATGTCGTGTCCGCTCTGTAGGTCCTACAATAATTGAAAGATTTTCTTCAAACTTGGCTAAAATGTTCACCTCAACAAGGGGATGTGCAGAACTCATGTTGCCCATGTGTCATTTTAAGGTCAAGGTCACAATTGAAGGTCAAATATCAAACAATCAAATTTAACACAATATGTCGTGTCCGCTCTGTAAGTCCTACACTTATTGAAAGATTTTCTTCAAACTTGGCTCAAATGTTCATTTCAACAATGGGATGTGCAGAACCCATGTTGCCCATGTGTCAGCTCAAGGTCAAGGTCACAATTGAAGGTCAAATATCAAACAATCAAATATTACACAGTATGTCGTGTCCGCTCTGTAAGTCCTACACTTATTGAAAGATTTTCTTCAAACTTGGCTCAAATGTTCACCTCAACAAGGTTATGTGCAGAACCCATGTCACTCTTTTGCCGGCTTAAGGTCAAGGTCACACTTGAAGGTCAAAAATTGACTTAGAAAAATTAATGTTCTTTAATTTTAACATATATCTGAATATTTCTGAATCTAGGAAAGGTATTTGCTTGAAACTTAAAATATAAACGAAGTGTCACAATTAAGATATGCTGGTCAAGTTTCATAACTCTGTATTGCATTTTAACAAAGTTATGCCCCTTTTTAATCTTCAAATATACATACAATCACATATTAGACAATATGTTGTGTCCGCTCTATAAATCCTATAGTAATGGAAGAATTTTCTTCAACCTTTTCTCAAATGTTCACTTAAACAAGGTTATGTGCAGAATCCATGTCACCTTTGTGCAGGCTAAAGGTCAAGGTCAGACTTGAAGGTCAAAAATTGACTTAGAAAATGTTCTTAGATTAAAACATGTTCTTGAATATTTCGGAAACTAGCATAGGTATTTGCTTGAAACTTAAAAGATATATGAGGTGTCACAATTACGATATGCAGGTCAAGTTTCATAACTCTGTATTGGATTTTGACAAAGTTATGCCCCTTTTAAAGTCTTTAAATTTACATACAATCAATACTAGACAATATGTTGTGTCCGCTCTATAAATTCTATACTAATGGAAGGATTTTCTTCAAACTTTACTCAAATGTTCACTCCAATTGGGCGATGTGCAGAACCCATCTTACCCTTGTGCCAGCTGAAGGTCAAGGCCACACTTGAAGGTCAAAAATTGACTTATAAAAAGTTTAGTATATTGGGAAAATGAAAGGTTATTTGTAACTGTTTCAAACATGATTTGATAATAGATATTTTTACTATTACCTGTACAATTATGTCTTTTTTTCACCAGAGATAATTTCTTTTTATGTATTTGTGTCACTTAAGTTATTCCCTTAACCACCTTTCCAAATTGTCTTCTGTCAAGGACATTGGTGGGGGTATGAATCGCATTCAGCGATAGTTCTAGTTTAAGTTAATGTAATAATGCATTTATTTTCGTGTGAATAGACAAAAGTTTTGCTACTGAAAAGTTATTTCACCCTGTATTTTTCCAGTAAATCCGATCGTTCGTTCAGTTACAGGTGTAAACATATTTTATGATACAAATGAGTCTCCCTACCATTTACCGACAAGAACCATCAAGGACCGACAAAAGCCCATGTTTTGTTAATAAACATGCTATTTATGATATTTAATACATGCATGGCATATTTATTTTCTTTTAATCTGTGTGTGTTTTTTTGTTGCTTTTTTTTTCCGTTTTTTATATAATATAGAAAATTAAATATATGGGGACCGACAAGAAAAAAATCTGATGCAAAGCGTGTACTGTAACGTTCATACCGACAAGAAACGTTTTGTAACTTTACATAATCAGTTGTAAAATTTGTGTTGAAAATATCTTAATAACATGTTTCCACTTTTTCATTGAAGACATTGCATGAATATTTATGACTACGGACAGGGAAAAAAAATGATAAGGCATCCTGCATAGCGAAGATTTGTAGGCAAGACATTTTATTATAAACATGTATTTATTTCATTTCTAGTCACAAATTTTTACAAAAACAAATCTAATCTAGATCCCTGGAAAATAGGCCTAATGATCATATTCCAGGTATATCCTATAACGATATATGTAGCCTTTCAACCAGTAAAATAATTTTCAACACTTTTAAACACAGACTTTAATTAAGTTTTAATAAAGATATATCATATTTTCAGACTTGGGATAGATCGGGTATGCAGATCCATGAATGAATATGCAGAACAAGAAAAGAGTAGGGTAGCATGACGGATTTCTTAAGTGATGAAACTTTGGGGTCAACATATAAACTACATACCCGACATTAAAAACAATGAAAATAAATAAAATAATAACTTTATTCTTTGTTCTGTTTTATTTTTTGATAACACCTTTAGTGCTGATACTTCATATACCAGCAATGTTGAATAAACTGCACAACGTAAACATGGTAAGTTACTGCACTGAAATTTTCTTTTCCAGAACATGCTGAAAGCAGAAAGACAAATACATGTATTATTTATAATAATCAAATCGTTTTCCAATACAAAATTAATTTTAGAAGTTTTATGAAGATTTTATTATGCCCCCCTTCGAAGAAGAGGGGGTATATTGTTTTGCTAATGTCGGTCTGTCTGTCGGTCCGTCCGTCTGTCTGTCGGTCTGTCCGTCGGTAGACCACATGGTTTCCGCTGATTATCTTGAAAAGTATTTATCACAAAGTCTTCATATTTTACATAGTGATTGGTCATAACTAGTAGATGACCCCTATTGATTTTGGTGTCACTAGGTCAAAGGTCAAGGTCACAGGGACCTTAAATGTCAAAATGGTTTCCGCTGATTATCTTAAAAAGTATGTATCACAAAGTCTTCATATTTCACACAGTGATTGGTCATCACTAGTAGATGACCCCTATTGATTTTGGGGTCACTAGGTCAAAGGTCAAGGTCACAGGGACCTTAAATGTCAAAATGATTTCCGCTGATTATCTTGAAAAGTATGTATCACAAAAGTCTTCATATTTCACACAGTGATTGGTCATAACTAGTAGATGACCCCTATTGATTTTGGGGTCAA